TTTATTCCCCAGAGCCTCGTACTGAGGTCTATTGTTTTAGGCTGAATTTTAATATATCGAAATTGGTCTATTCTGCGTTGTCTGAAGAACGTGAACGACAACGGCTAATTTTTTAAATTTATATTCCGAATTTAACACTGTGTTCCATATTCAGTTTCGAGGTAATTTTGACAGTGAGAAACAAACTAAATGACTTTAGGGTATCGCGAGATTCGTGGGTAAAATATAAGTTCATTTTTCAACCGACGTTGTCCTCGGCGTCGCCGTCGTGGTTTCTTAAATTCCCTCTTAGCTCAAGGTCTGGATCCACCACTGTAGTGTCCCTGCTATTGAGGTCTATAAAAAGTCACGATTTCGACGTATCCGTGTTCTGTTTGCTTCTATATTTGCGATTTAAACCTCGCAGTCATTGAAAAATTCCAAGCACACAAAAATGCGGCTTATCGTTTTCCACTCTGGTACAGTCCATTCGCCCCAGGGAATTTCCGGAAATTCACACCGGGATTTTTAGTCGAACGTAACCGAAGCATGCACATTATCACGGGCTCGAGCCCTGGGAAAGATCGCCAACCATTCTCGTCCCCATAGCCCTTTTGGCTTCTCTTAGCTGGCGCGGCCTTGGCACGAGAAACGAAAGGCTCTGGGGACATAGGATTTTCGAACTACTTCGAATGTTTTTGATTGGCAACAAAGAAATCTTGAACGGAAGTTAAAATATTCGCGCCGATTTCTGTCGCGAAAATATGAAACAGCTGTGACCAGCGGTGTTTAAAAATGGAGGACCATCACAGAGCTGATCTGCAAATCGTTTATCTTCACGGTCCGCATCTCGCATCAAGGCATTTAAAAGCGAAACAACGAAAATAAACAATTCGGTTGTCCATGCGAGGAGTCAAAAACAAAGGACAATAAACGAAAAACCAATGACTGTCGGTAAAAGAAAAAAAAATTAGAGTGTTTCTCGTTTAAATCACAATGTTTCTTATCGCCTCTTCCCAGTCGTGTTCTACACTAACGAAAACATTCCCTAAATTGATACTACTTAAGGTCTGAGACCAAGATTTCTCGAATCATCCCTCGACGGAATGAATACCGCAAGTCCTAAAATCTAGGACTGGGAAATCACTTGTCTCCAGAGCCCTTCGTTTCTCGTGCCAAGGCGCGCCGGCTAAGATAAGCGAAAAGGGCTATGGGAACGAGAATGATCGCCGACCAAGTGAAGACTGGACCCGATATCGTCTCAGCTGGCACAGAATTACAAGAGATCAAGTTTGAAGATCTGTAATGATGTTAGCTGAACTCTCCTTGCTTTTTATGCACATTGTAACAGCAGCTTGTTCAGGTAAATATCTGTAGGAGTGCTATGCGAGTCGTACAACTGCGTACAGTCATCTTCTACTTGAACAATTGTAACACTGACAACTGAGCTCTTCGAGATACAGGTTTCATAGCTGTTTCTTGTGTAGCTAATTTTCCTTTAAAATCTGAAAGGTCTTGCCATGAAAATCCTTCAGTACAATCTTGTATCATTCCATGTTGTATTCAGCCAGTTTTAATTTCTAATCCATGGAATAAAAATAGGAAAGACACGTATAACCATACTAATTACATATGCAATTTTGCAATAATTGGCGTTCGTGGTGTACGCATGATTACGTGTGTGACCATACATACTGTTATCGTTCCAGCCATACTTACATCGGATAGACCGACCACGAATTAAAATTATACTTTCTAGCAATACAAACTGCTTGCCAAGTCATGTTAAATTTCCTGTCGAATAAGCCATTTTCGAGGCCTTACGTGACACGAACGAAATGGGTAAATTTTTAACGAGTCCTCGTGCGAAACTTTTCATATGAAAATGAGACTGATTTGCATCAAATGAACGCGTGGGGAAACACGTTTTTTAGTGATAGAGAGTAACTCCCGCTCGTTATTATTCATTCAATCTGATCCGGTCGATCTTGACTTTTATATCAAAGAATCGCTTTCTTGAAGTATTTTGGTTCACGCTTGTCATTTTTAGACTCTAAATTTAGATTGACGTTGACTATTTAACGAATTTGATGGATCTTCAGTGTTGTAGATAACAAATCTGGAATACGTTTCTGTTGTAAATTTATGCCTTTGTCTAAAACAGATTGACAAGAATTGTTAACAGAAATGACCAATGCAGTCGCTCCAACTTTACCCTAATTTCATCAACTTGAATTCTTTGACTAGGATACCCTACATAAATAAATTGAAGTGCATGTGTTTTTCATCGTTCACTTAGCAAATCATTGATCAGTTTTGTGAACAAGTTTGATGTTTGTCTGGTAAATGTAAATATCCTTCTTTTTGTCCGCTGCAAGACTCTAATTATACGGTAATATTTGTTATTGTGAAGTCAAATCATCTGATCATCTTAAAATTCTCGGCGTAGCCATTGATAACAAACTGACACTTAGTGAACACATCAGTGATATTTGCAAGAAAACGAGCTGTAAGGTTGGGGTATTATTGAGACTACGTAATTTAATTCCATGGTCCGCAAAGTTACAGCTGTACAAGTCCAATATTTTGTCCCACCTAACATATTGTGATATCATATGGCACTTTTGCAAATCATCCAATAAGAAGACAATGGTGAGAATTCAAGAGCGCGCACTCAGGGCAGTCTTTAATCCAAATCGGAGACCTACAGTGAGCTTCTAACAAGGGCAGGTCTACCAAGTCTGTGCCAACAACGGTTACAAAACATCGCCATTTTCATGTATAAAGTAAAAAACGGATTTGTGCCCACTTTTATTATTATAACAGAAATATTCAATACTACTCCGAAACGGTATAATCTGAGGAACTCAGATTTTAATATTCCACGTTTTCGCACCATGCATTATGGAAAACATTCTTTACGATATTTTGGGCCCCATCTTTGGAACAAATTAGACAAAACTGATAGAGAGAAGCCTAATGTTAAGAGTTTTAGAAACAGGGTCAAGAGTAAACACCTATCACTCTTAATAGATAATTGTAAGAACTGTGATATATGCTGCTAGGCCGCTTTAAATTTTACATTTTATATATATTTGATATCTTATAAGCTTTTTAAATCTTACTAAGTTCATATATTTCATTTATTTATTTTATACATTATTCATTAAATTGTAAATAATTTTAACTTTAGCGAAGGTATATTTTATTGTGTAAATAGTGTCCCCAATTTTTAAGCTAAATACCATTGACACTTAAATAGTCTTTCATTCATTCATTCATTCATTCATTCATTCATTCATTCATTCATTCATTCATTCATTCATTCATTCATTTATGTTGTATTCATTTGTATATCTTCCTCCGAAAACTCGAGTAAACTAGAAAAACATCGCCATTATATTGACTACCTCAAGCCACTGCACACTAAAGGCTGATAGAGTGCTTTGTCTCTGCTAATTAGATTGCAGCATTCGGATTAGTACACAAGACCAGTTCTACTAATCAGTGCATATTATTAATTCTAGTTGTATACTAATGCAAATGCTGCTGTAATCTGGTTGGGTTAGTTGTCGTACACAATCAGTCATTAGTGACAGTGGCTGGAGGTTATAAGTAAAAATGGCGAAGTTTCTCGTTTAGCCGAAGTTTCGGAGTAATATTTTGGAACGTAACTGGACAATTAAATTTTGTGAAGACTAAAAAAAGGACATTGATTGTTAGAAAAAAAATACTGATAACCGTACGTACAGAAAACGACAGGTTTCAAATGACTATTCAGTCTACGCGATTTTGCTATGGCATAAAGTTAAAAGAGAAGATGCAGAGAAATAATTGAAAATCCCTATTCGACGCAAATTTAGTTGGAATTCATGCAACTAAAACATTTCGGAGTTATCAGCTATCGCCTCATAGAAATCGAGAGCGAATAATCTTATAGTCAAATATTGTTTTGATCTCATCAGCCAACTACATCTGGCTTATGTATCCGATTGCTCAGCAAGCCCTGTATGGTTACGATGGAGTGGCGAACAAGTCATACAGAAGCGAGAATATTTCGGACGGTGTAAAGTTCGTAACAGAAGACGGAATCAACGCCTTGTTTGTGCCAGCAGGTATACAGGTTGATCTCGGTGACTTTGCTGGAACGTGTGTTAGTAACCCAAACCTGTGTAAGAACTTCACCGTGTCTTTCCTCCTCAAAACTGCTGCCAATAAAAGTCTTATAGTTCTGGACTCTGGGATAATGGATCCCACAGGGCAGGAATACGAATATGGATGGTCGTTTAAAGTTAATATTATAGGCGATACCTCTGCTGCAGTTGTTACTTCAGGATTACAAGGGGATGGTCAGGACTTCACAGCAAAAGGAGTCTGGATCCATATGGCATTTACTTCTTTCCAGACATTTACCAACAATGTTCGTCTCTATCAGAACGGCTCCTACCGTGCTGACGTAGCATTCGGTGCTACTTCATATGATCAAGATAAGAACACTCATTTAAAACTTGGTGATGTATCCAACACAGAGGGATTTTTTATTAGCAATTTGCAGTTCATCGGAATCGCGCTGAGCACAGAGGAAACCATGAAAAATGGAAACAACAGTTTCGAGACAGGTATTAGAACCTATTCAATTTAAATAACTTTTACCAGTTCCCTTTCTGTTTCATCACGTTAGTAATGATTTTTTTAAAAAAGTAACAAAAACTGTTGTCGTTTATTCATTGATATTACACATTATAAAACACTGAACGAAAAAGAAATGGAAGTCAGGTTTTTGCTTCTTCACTGACGGCAAGCAACACAAAGCGCGCGAACTTGACATGATTACCCTTAGAAAAATCATGCACCGCGGTCATACATGACACGATTACTCATGACCTTGAGTGTCCTTGACATGACTGTTATATAATCTGCAGCTAGATGACGTCACAGGCGCTGATTTCAAAAATTCACTGTACGCTTTCGGCCAATCAGAAAAGAGATAGTGAGTTCAATGTGTAATAAAATAGAACATAGCTTGGTATTCCTTGGAGAACCATTATAACCACAACAACTTTTTTGTATTCCACACCACAGGGAGCACACAATCTTGCTGAATAGGAAGAGAGTAAATAAAGAAATAAAAGAATGAATAGTTTACCTTTGTCTCCGTTGTTATTTCTTACGCGACCTTACAGAGAAAACCACTACTTACAAGTCCTGCGTCACACTGTAGCGCTTAACTCGCACCCAGGCCTTTTCGCGCTCTACAAAAATTTTTTGGGGGCTTTAAATATAACGTTGACAAGGAGGCAACTCTTTGCCCAAAAATTTTGAACACAATCCGAATAATCGCTCGAATCTCTAAATTCCGTTGCTTCCACGAAACCAAACAAACACAAAACGAAGTCGAAAGATTTTGCTACAACTTGGCCGAATTTGTTTTCGAATGCTTTCACGACAGGTGGAGAATTTTAGCGTCTTTAGCAAAGTTTTTCTCAAATCGCTTTTCGCAACATGATCGTACCGTTGAACCGGTACCAGTGACGTCATCCAGCACGCGCTCAAGCTACCCTCCATCTCCCACACGTGTTTTTTGACGCAACAAATCTTTACAAAATCCTTCCCCAGCTCTCAATTTTAAACACGGAATCTCGCTGAAACGCTTCAGGTATTTACCCGCGACATTTCATTTCCGTGCGGAGATCGGGCGACTTCGGACGCGCAAGAAAAACTGCGAACCGGGGAAGGGGTTTGTAAAGATTTGTNCTTCAGGTATTTACCCGCGACATTTCATTTCCGTGCGGAGATCGGGCGACTTCGGACGCGCAAGAAAAACTGCGAACCGGGGAAGGGGTTTGTAAAGATTTGTTGCGTCAAAAAAGCATGTGTGGGAGAAGGAGGGGAGCTCGAGCGCGCGCTGGATGACGTAATTGGTACCGGTTCAACGGTACGATCATGTTGCGAAAAGCGATTTGAGAAAAACTTTGCTAAAGACGCTAAAATTCTCCACCTGTCGTGAAAGCATTCGAAAACAAATTCGGCCAAGTTGTAGCAAAATCTTTCGACTTCGTTTTGTGTTTGTTTGGTTTCGTGGAAGCAACGGAATTTAGAGATTCGAGCGATTATTCGGATTGTGTTCAAAATGTTTGGGCAAAGATTTGCCTCCCTTGTCAACGTTATATTAAAAGCAAAAAAAAATTTTTTGCAGAGCGCGAAAAGGCCTAGGTACGAGTTAAGCGCTACAGTGTAACGCAGGACTCGTAAGTAGCGGTTTTCTCTGTAAGGTCGCGTAAGCAATAACAATAGGAGACAAAGGTAAAGTATTCGTTCTTTTCATTCCTTTGTATACTCTCTTCCTATTCAACAAGATTGTGTACCCCTTTGTGTCCACACGAACCCGAGCAGCATGCGCAAGTTGACTGTGGCTCATAGAAACCGGGGCTAGTAGTTTGATGGCGTTATTATACGCGCAAAAGGGCTGCACTCCTAAATCTAGAAGTGTATGATTTTTGAGCAGAAAATTCGAGAAAAATTGTCCCGGTCAAGAACAAAGAGCGTGCGATCCTGTTCGATCAGAACTATGGGAGAACAACGAACAGATTGGCGGTTTACCAGTTGAACTAGTTGTGTGTCCACTTATCGATTCTAGTTCCCGTGTGCATTGGCCTGCTTGCTAACAAGTATATGATTCTCTTAGCAATGTGGACTCAAAACGTTACGATTGAAATCCTCCAAGATGAAGTAACAGTACGTGCAGAGACTGGTACAGCAGCAATTCCAGTCCGTCGCAACGGATTTCAAGAGATAGCTGCAGTAGTTGAGTAAGTAATGATCCATTTAGTTTCCATCTTGTCCAATTCTGTAACGTCACAGTGGCGTTCACTGCATGAAGCTTGGGAATTTCTCACTACTTATCCAAACCTTTCAGTAAATGAAAGCCTCTAAGATCTCAGCCATACAGTTTATCTTATTTTTCGTTGACAAAAATGGCGGACCTTGACCCCGCAAGCGTTGTTTCTCGCTGATTCATCAGTACGTCAGCGGTCTTTGTCATAGCAAAAATTAGCATTAGTAGGACGATGCAACAACAGAGTGCAACAACAGCTACTATTGCAAGTGTGATAAATATGTTTTCTCCACTGGAACCGACATATTGTTTATATGAACACAGTAAGATGACTTTGATGATGACATACAAACAAATTATATTTTTACCACGGACAAAGAATGTTTTTGCAGAATTTTTTTTTTCTTTCTTTGTGCTTGACTGCACATTCTCAACTTGTGATTTAGCCACATTTTTTTTTTACAATAAATATACCTATAACTTGTTAAGGTTACTTCCCACCTTCAGAGGCCAAAAAAATCGTTTTTTCTTTTATTCGACAAAATTTAAGTTCGTCATTTTATCTAGTGTTTCCAAAAGAAAAACATTAGAAATCTCAAAAAGCGGCCGAGTTATTTAGAAAAAACGTATTTTCAAATAAAGTTAATAAACTAGGAAGGTGTCACAATCTTGTCAACGGGCGAGAACNACAACCTAAGAAGGATTGAAGTAAAGAATCGTCATCCCCGCAGTAATGACAACTCTGGTTGTCTTCAATTCCGTATAAATGTAATTCTTTCTTTGTGGTAAAAAAAATTCTGTCAATTTATTTTGCTTACTGATTGACTTTATCCACTTAAAAATTGTGTTCGAAGAGAGCTAGTGAACTGTGGAAGGTCGCGTTGCCACTTGCTAGGGCCAGTTGCGCAAGGTTCCTTCCTGTTCAAAAAAAAGCCAGTAGTAATCTTTACGTGTTAATTTAGATAGGTCGATCGACAGCGACGGTGACAGATAAAAAGTGGAATTCCCTAAAGTAAAAATTGGATTGGTGCCAGATAACAGTTCTGACCATTTAGTACTCCTTTTTCGCGGAAGACAAGGAGACTATTGCAGCCATCGTTTAAGGGTGGGATGGGTACGATAAAAATGTTCGTTTTCTTGTTCTATGCGTGAGAAGGTGAGAAAAGATAACTGACATTTTTGCATTCTGACTAATTACAATGTAAAGTTCGCTTCATATCAGGGCAAAGGTGTATAATGCGCCGATATTGGATCTCGTCCAGTGGCAGTGTAATACGTAGCTTGGACTAGTTCATTATTAACTGAGCGGTGGACCTATGCGCAAGTTGCTCCTCACTCAGTCTATCACAAGCTGTTGTTGTTCTTTAGTATTAGTAAGGATGATTACAGTCATACAGGAGGTACGAAAAACAGTAGCGCGACGGTCCAAGTAAACTACCAATAGACTGTTTGTGGCTCTTGTTTAGATTCAATACAACCGACCTCACCGCTAAGAGTTCCACTCATTACGTGGGTTTCCTCGACAAACAGTTGGTTTTCGCACCTGGAGAGGTTTACAAACACGTGGAAATTCCTATCATCAGGCGTGCAATCTTTCAAGGCAGCAAGACCTTTGTGGTCTCCTTTTCAAACTCGCCAATTTTGAAAGGTCCTATGAAAGTCAAGGTCACTATTCTTTATACAGGTATTGTATGATAAGACAGTGTTAACTTTTGCATTTGTTTCAGAATAATTCCTGGTACAGTTTGATTTGCACGTAACTGGAGTGAAGAGTAGAATACAATTTCTTAGCGTTTAATCCTTCGAAGAGAGTGTCAAGATACAACACTGCATACGAGAACATATTTGAGTTATTTCTAGACCACCATTTTAGATTCCACATAGTTCTCCCTTCCCCTCCCTACATAGGGGTTGAATCAACCGCTGTAACCGCGGGAAAAGGGTCTTTGAGGCACTGCACTATATTTCACACAAAGATAAGCAATTGCCAACAGAGCATGTTCGTACTCTAGATATTGGACTGGAACTAGCTTGCAAGTGATGCTTATGCGGGGAGTCTTTCAAATGCAAATGACATTGATCTTTTTTTAAAGACATCCCCCGCGTGAGTCTACACTGCGAGGTAGTTCAGTCCAATACCGAGAACACGAATATGGTCTTCAGTCCATTGTATATGACCAAATTTTTGACACCCAACATTGTAGTGTTTCTAAGGTTGACCATACACGCGAAGTCAGGGGATAGAAAAGACCTTTTTCTCATTTCAACTTGCATGAAGTGAGAAAAGCCCTTAATTCTAAAACAGAAGCAACGCTTTAACCTTAATACAACGGCTTTAATTTCATGTATGTAATTCTGCTTTTTTACTTTTCATTTTCCTAAGGACCTAACCAACCAGAGGGATCAGCAAAATATGGTAAAACAAATGTTTACGTCTGTTTCACAGCATTCGTTCCATTTGTACATGTCTGCCAGCCAGTAAGCCAGCCAGCCATCCTGCCTGGCTGCCTGTCTGTCTGTCTGTCTGTCTGTCTGTCTGTCTGTCTGTCTGTCTGTCTGTCTGTCTGTCTCTCTGTATGCTTGTCTGCCCGCCCGTCCGTCCATCTCTATTCGTGTCCGTCTGTCTTTCTGTCTGTCTATCTCTTTGCTTTCTTTCTTATGGTTTTGGTTAAAATGTTAGTTAGTATTAGTAACGCGCATCGCATTCTACTTCCAGATTGTACGTTATACGTGCCACGATTTGATATGCTGCTTTGTTAATACAACAGGTAAAGGCTGCTATCTTCTGGTTGTTGCTATGAGTATGTGGGCGCACATCATCTCACGTCATTCATCATTTCATTAGACTCTGGTAAAGGGTAAGTCCCTGATCAGCCTTAATTTACTTCAGGACTGAAATCTTCATCTTTAGTGTAAAGCCATTAAAAATGTGAATTTATCTCCCTTGAAACAATGATTTCAGGTGCTTACTTCGGCGCATTTCAGCTATGGAATAAATGCCCCGTAGGGTTTGACCTCTGAGGAGGCATTCTAGGATTTTCTTCGTGTATTAGGAGTTAAATAATGTTGTTATACCTCCCAATTCAAACACGTTTTCCGATTGGAGGAGAGCGTGTCACGTGACGTGGCTCAAAACTCACTCAAAACTCCCTAGGGCCAACAAAACTCACTAACTCCCTAGGGAAACAACAACTTGAACTTTCGACTCGCACGTGATCAGGTCGTGCTCTTTGAAACCGCGGCAAATTTGTGAGCCANTTGTGAGCCAGTCAGCATCAAGCAAACAATTTCTTCGCAGTTTTTATTCTATTTTTGAGTTGGGAGGTATAACAAAACACTTAATGACTGGTCCAGGGGGAAATTAACAGTGAGTTTTGTTTCTTACTGTTCCCCTCGACTTCGCCTCAGGGAACATTGAGGGTCTCGGGGAAACATTTTCACTGTTGCCCTTGGGTCCAAGTGCTTATTGTATAATCCAAGTAGCTGACATTCAAAGAGGTGTTGTGACGTCACCAGTTGAAACTTAAGAACGTCATCCTATTCATTGGAGCAAAGTCTGATGATCGTGGATTTCATTCTGGCGATCTTTTGGTTGCTAAACAAATTTCTACAATTAGAAGTGCACTTGAACACGTGCACCACAATACACAGTCAAATGTTCCAATTCACTTCTTTTATTTCTCTTACTTTCATTATCCGTAAACTCAGAAGTTAGTTTAATAGGCGACAACTATTTTGAACTTAAAAACGAATGAATGAATGAATGGATGATTGATTGATTGATTGATTGATTGATTGATTGATTGATTGATTGATTGATTGATTGA